CGTGATGATGTCATGGGGGGGGGGGTCACCCGGTCCCCGCTCTGGGTGACACTTGGCCTCAGGACGACACCTGTCTCTGTTTACAGTATTTTTGCATGTGTGGCTACAAAAGGAGATATTCAGAATGATTTGTGGACACCAGCAACCAGGAAATCAATGTAAATACAGATTGAAGATCTATTTCTGGGTCAGGCAGATTCTGGACCACAGGCTGCAGGGGTGTGGAAATTTTGGAAAAAACTACTTGTCCAAGGACTAAAGTGGGGGCCGAATCTACTTGTCCTTCATGACAATCTACTTGTCCTGATACAAAAAAAATTATTTTAACCAAAACCGTGTTTAGCAGTGCTAAGAAGCGCTTCTCATTGGTCAGTGCCGTCAGGTGACCGCGTTGACCAACGAGTGCTTGCAATTTGCGAGCGAAATTCAGAATACATGGAACAGGTACAGATAGTACACCCGTACTTGTGGAGGGGGAAGGACCGTTCGCCGAAAGGTAAGTATAGTGGGAGGGAGATTTGTGCGGGTAATTACAAATTACTTGGGAAAGTGAATTTACCCTTTAGGGTGGGTGCAGACCTGCGGATTCCTGGGACGTGCGATCGTGTGCGGTAGCCACCGCATGTAAGGGATAGCTTTTGGAGGTGACAGGTTCTCTTTATTGAACCTGTCACCTCCAACACAGGAGTTATAGCACAGCACTGAGCTAGAACTCCTGTGACAGAAACGAGCAGCGGCCGCCAGCGACAGAGTGAGGTGACAGAGCCTGTCACTGCTCCACGCCCCCGCTCCGGCCCCGCTCTCGGCGCTCCACGCCCCCCGCTCGCAGCGCCGCTCTTGCCGGTCCACGCCCCCGCTCGCTGCGCCGCTCTCGCCGCTCGTCAAACCAGCCCTGCTACTTGTCCGTAGCAGGGCTAAAACAGTGAAAAAACTACTTGCCCGACGCCCGGAACTACATTTGCGCTGTGGTGAGAGTCTGACAGTGGCTCATGGGATTTGTAGTTGCACCACAGCTGGAGAGCTGGACTTTGACTACCTGTATTCTATTGCAATGCATTCACGAGGATTACATGGACATAGGATTGTAAAGATAAAGGGTGAAAGATGTTAAAATGGGATGCTGGTGCTTTAACTCCCCCCAGTAGAGTTCTCGGCAACCTTGCTACTCCTTTATTTTTTCTTCTGGCCCCCAAATGGCCCATCCCCTCCGGGTGCTCTTCTAACCAGATCTTTTAACTTTTCAGGTTAGCAAAGGAGGAGATGAACAAGCAAGAGCTGAGGCAAAGGGTGCGCATGGCCGACAACGAAGTCATGGAAGCCTTCCGAAAAATAATGGCGGCCCGGCAGAAGAAGAGAACCCCGACCAAGAAGGAGAAGGACCAGGCTTGGAAAGCTCTGAAGGAAAGGGAGAGCATCTTAAAACTGCTCGACGGATGAACCCGTGTCAATGAAAGGACTCCATTTTGTCAGTGCGGCGTCTTAGGTCGTTTTAGGCCTAACCCGCTCCTATGTGTCCCCGAACAACTCCAATCCGAAACCCCACAGGAGAAGACTGTAGAGTGGTCTCAGATGACTGCATGCTTTCATGTGTGGTCATGATATGGACTGTCCAGAACCGACTAATTCCAGCGCTCGGCTGCCTGATCCATGTGGCCAGTGAACAGCGGGATCGGGACTATCGCCAGCCCAGTTGCATTCTGCCTGTGTGATCGTGATTTCTGTGTTACTCGTTTCTAGTACTTGTTCTGTGTTCTTGTGTCTCTAGAAAGACTTTTTCTCTTTCTTATTCTTTTGACTGTTTCAATATTGTGTTCACGGCTGGTTGTTTTTTGTTTTTTTTAATGATGAAATGTACGTGAAAATATTTTCCAGGAGATGTTAAAATAAAAATATGACACTCATCAGAAAGAAGCTTCCACATCTTCAGTCTTATAAACTTTGCTGTGACATTGCGGAACCTGGAAAGTAAAGTGCAAGTTCAACCAACACTTTCTGTTTGGGTTCGGATAGAGTGAGGAAGGATTGGAACCCCTGCTGCTTTCCGGGGTTCCATTAGAGAGATTTATTGTCACACTATCAACATTGTCAGCAAAAAGGAAGTGAGGAAGAGTCTGACACAGACAGCAATACAAATTGGCAAGGGTTTGAAACCTTCAGTGCACTAGTAAAAGAAGAAAATAAATGTATACAATAATGACCCGTTCACCTGCTTCCTGATTGGCCCGGGAAGCTTGCTAAATGCTGATTGGCTGGAATGCAAATAGCTGGTCAAATAGCATGAAGCCGGCTTCCATGAAACCGGGGAGAGGGTAATGACCCGCTCCCGGGGATTCCTGATTGGCCGGCATCACCGCATCCCGGCTTCTTGATTTGCTGTTTGGCCGGCTCCATACTGATTGGCTGGGAAGCCGGCAACACAGCCAATCAGCATGGAGCCGGCTTCCCAGCCAAACGGAAAAACCCGGGAGCGGGTTGATACTCACTCCCCGGTTCCCCGATTGGCCAGGAACCTGGCTCCATGCTGATTGGCTGTGATGCTGGCTTCCCGGCCAATCAGCATGGAGCAGGCCAAATAGCATGGTGCTGGCTTCCTGGCCAATCGGGGAGTGGGTAATGACCCGCACCCGGGTTTTCTGATTGGCTGGGAAGCCAGCTCCATGCTGATTGGCTGTGGTGCCGGCTTCCCAGCCAATCAGCATGGAGCCGGCCAAACAGCAATCAAGAAGCCGGGCTGCGGGTAATGACACCGAAAAACTGGTATTTGTGCATCCCTATTAATAAATGAGGGGAAATCTCATTAGGGATTCCCGGACACCAGTGGAAACCCAAAAGAGGTTCTTCTCCAATCAATCTACAAAAAAATCAAACTCCAGCCCCCCAACTACAAATCCCATCATGCATCAGCCTTTAGGGGTCATGTCTGTGGCTGACCCTGCTCTATATAATTGATCCAATCATTTTTGCAATTTAAAGCTGAACTCCAGGCAAAAAGATGGTCTAAATACAAGAGCCATGTGTATTCTTTCTGAAATCTTGGCAAGCTTTGTGTGTTTCTTCCAGATCTGTGCAGTAATCCAGTGTGAGACTTGGAGCTTCCTGTAATAAAGACCGGTCATTGCTGCTCTCTTTCCTTGTGCAGGGTGACTGGTCTTGTCTCCGCCCCCTTCTGTAATAAAGACCGCTCACTGCTGTTCTCTCTCCTTGTGCAGGGTCTAGTCTTCTCCTCCCTCCTATAGTTTTTTGCAGGCAGCCTGTAGTGTAACAAAAACAATAAATCTAATGCAGCCACCACAGATAAGGACTGTTAAGCTGCAATAAATACTTTTTGAGTGCAGTTGGGTTTTAACGTAACATTAAACTTTCCAATGTTTTTTTTCAATAATGCATCCAGATCGGACAAATAAACATCACACATGCAAAGCATTTCTTTACATTTTTGACCAAGCACTTAGTCGTCATGTTTCTGAGCAACTCCAACTCTCTCAGCTCCGCTTCCCTGAACTTGCTTTTGAGTACAGGAAGTTCAGTACGGGAGGTTTGACAAGCTCCCGTGTGGAGAGAAACGTGTGAGGTGGCTCTTGCCTGTACCATGATACAATCTACAGCTCTGGCTCTATATGGATAAGCTATTTATCTGCTCCAGAATTCATGAATCCCTATACTGAAAAGCGATATACAGGTACAGCTTTCACCTGTCGCATTATACTGTATATATTAGGGATGCACCGATATATCGGCCGCCGAAACATATCGGCCGCAAATGGCATTATGGCATAATGCCGAAAGTGCTATTTTCCTGCCGATACATCCCTGCTTTCTTTCCTCCCCGCTGGGCGCTGCTCTGTGTGTCAGTGGGGAGGAGAGAAACTGTGATAGCCGAGCGCTGCGAGAAGAGAGAGCTGTGAGAGGCCGGCGTCTCTCCTCCCACACCGCTCAGCCTCCGATCACAGTCCGGCAGAGCGGTGTGGGGGATGGAGACAGTCCGCGCTGTCACAGGAGGCTGAGCTCTCCTCCCGACACCGCTCGCTCAGCCTCCTGCGACAGCGTGTCGGAGAGGAGAGCGAGAGCAAATACTCAGTGATCGCTAAGTGTTTGTAGATAATTGAGGACAGTGTGCGTGTATCCTCAATTATGAATGAATGGGAAGTGATCTACATCACTTCCTGTTCAACGTGCACCTCTAGTATATATATTTAATCATCCTACTTAGAGCGGTCCAACTGCAAGGGAAAAGAGCCATCCAAAAACAGGATATCAGGGCCAGTGCTCAGGGGACCCGCTGATTCTGCAAGAAATGAAAACTTTTAAACCTCCAAGAAGCAGCGTCCATTGTAAGTGATTTCATCAGCATCTGAAATCGCTGAAAATCCCTTTGGCTTTACTATCACTTTAAAGAGGAAGTTGGTGTACAGATATTGCTATTCCCGCATTGGACACTAGATGGTGCACTTTGCTCACCGACACATTGTGGTATAAACTTTACACCAGCAAAAGAGCCGATAATAAGCATCAGCGCTGCAGATTTTGGTATTCGCTAGGGATGTACAGATACTTTTCGAGTACCAGTGCAGATACTTGGCATTTTCATGAGAACTACCAGGGTTGCAGCTGGGACCGGGCTCTGGCGCTCCACCACTGTCCTGAAATCATTAGTCTGTATTGTTTTAGAAAAACTGTCACATGACAATAAACAAAAATGTATCAGTACTCGTACTTGTAAGTACTCGGCAAGTACCAGTACTCGTACTCGCAAAACTGGTATCTGTACATCACTTTATTTATATTTATAAAAACAAAATCGTACATTAAAACAGAGATGTACAAATCCCAGGAGCTCCGTGTGCTCCTTACACATGGCAGCTGCCTCCTAATTTTTGAATTTTTCTCTAGTCTAGTCTTGGAGCTCAAAAGTATCGGTACTTGTACTTGTACCGAGTACTGTACTTGGTATCTGTGCAACCCTAGTATTCGCAGTAAATTATTTTTCTTGGAGTCCATTAAGGGACACAGGTTCTGCCCCATTCATTTTTGGCCTTAAAGTGACACTAAACTCAGGAGTTAAATCTTAAAAATACATTTAAAAGAGAACTATGGGGTTAAGGCTTTTCCCCATAGTTCTCCTTAGGGTAACGGGAGGGCACAAACTAGCGTCCTCCCGTCACCCTAAGCTCAGTATACCGCGAGCTGTAGCTCACGGTACACTGAGACGCCACAGTATACCGCCAGCTACTGCTAGCGGTATACTGAGACGCCGCAGCTGAAGCGGATCCCGACAATTATGTCTGGATCCGCACAGCTGCGTGACTGACAGCTGGCTCTGCCTATCTAGAGGCAGAGCCAGCTGTACCCGCCCCCTCCCCCCTCCGATCCGCCAGTCAGCGCTGGAGGATCGGAGCGGGGAGGGGGGAATCCGGCCCCTCCCCTGTCACGGCAGAGAGTTGTGACAGGATCGAGAAGTGAGTGAACGCCGGTATGTGTTCGCTCACTTCCCAATCTACTGAGCCGACCTGAGCCGACCTTGTCACAGGTCGGCTAGAACTATGAGGTGAGTGAAAAGCACTCACCTCATAGTTCTCCTTTAAGTACCCTAACTATGAACATAAATGTATCTTATTTGTGTATCACTCGGCTGTAGATCCTCAAATCATCTCTGAATTGGTGCTGACACTGTCCTTCCTTCTAGAGGGTGGCTACTTTTGTTCCCTATGGTCCCTGTGTGAGTTGTAATGTCACCTCTCCAAGCTCGCTCCTATGATGGACTACAATCTCAATACGAATTAGTAAATAAACCTGAGATTGTAGTCCATCATGGAGAGTGAGCTGGGAGCGGTGACTACTTTAAAACAGCTTTTCTTACTCTCTGTGTAATAAATCAGTTTGCACACAGAGAGGGGCAGAGAGGGCTGGGCATAGGTGGAGTTCTGCAGTCCAGCTGGGAAGAACTAAGGCCGGGCTGACAACACTATTTGGGATTTCAGTGCAGCTGAAGCAGAGTTGGCAGCTCATAACGGGAACTTAGGAGCTCACTGGATTTCTGGCAGCTCAAACATCTTTGTATGTGTTTTAATGGGATACAACATTGGGGAAATGTGCGTGTATTGCAGAGATGTACATTTTCTTTTCCCCAGATATACAGTTTGAAGGTGAACTCCAGACACACAACTAAATACATATATGAGAGTTGTTTTACCTGCAAAAGTATTGGAGTATTTCCTTCCATCCCGCCCTGATATTTACATAGCTCTGCCACACAGCATAACCCTGTCTAACAGGAACGGGGGCCTGATCTGTATCTGCTACAGTTTCACTTTCACTTACAGAACTGCGGTCATTTGCATCTTTTTTGATCTCTCTGGAATTCAGAAGAGATTAGCACAGGGGTGGGCAATCTCCGGCCCTCCAGCTGTTGTGGAACTACAAGTCCCATGAGGCATTGCAAGATTCTCACTATAGTCCAGATGAGGGTAGTACCCTGATATCGGTATGGTATAGTCCAGAAGAGTTAATTTCCCTAATA